TCTTTCTGTTTTTTTTTTTAATGGTGGGTGTTTACGCAGTTGGGTAGAGCAGTGCTGATTGGGGAGAAGGCGGTGCGCTCACTCTATTGGTTAGTAAGAACTCAAGGCTGGCAGTCATGCATATGCTCTGGAACAGAGTAATATCGCGTCCACATCGCAGTCTTTGCGATTAGCAAATCACAACGTCTCAAATCGCGATTCGATTTCGATTAATCGCACAGCCTTATTAGAAATTGCAATAAGATTTCACAATATTACTGTTTTTTGATCGAATAAATACAGCCATGATGAGCAGAAGAGACTCCCTTAAAAAACATTAAAAATCTTACTGATCCTAAACTTTTGAATGTATGTCTTCCTTATTTAACGCACCTGATTCAGATCATCAGCTCATGAGGAGGGAGATCCAGAGCAGCGCTACCCCAAGACTAGAATTGAAAACCACTGCACTACACCATACTGAAAAATGCCAATACACAATACTGTGTGCATATATATATATATATATATACCAGATTTAGTCCTACACTTATATTTGTTCCCCACTAAATAATGTTATTTCACTAAATGTTTAGATTTTATAAAATTATTCTGCACTCATGATTTTTCTAGAATAACGTTTGCTGCTGAATTATTTACTAACCTAATTTATAATAGTATTTTTGTCATAGATTAAGATTATATATTTTTTCAATTGTTATTTTTCTTTAAAATGAAGTGGTCTATTTAGTAGATTATGTTTAACACACAAAACAGTGATGATCAGGTCAACAACACAGGTTCTACATTGATAAAAAAAAAAAAAACAGTGCTGGTATCGGCCGATACTCAGAATTGTTTGGTATCGGATCGGTTCTGAAAAAATGGTATCGGTGCATCCCTACTGCTTCTGCACCGCTTACGTACCGCACATGGACTGCATACGCACCGCAAACGGAGTATGTGTGAACCTGGAGTAAAAGGTCGCCTCACATACAGCTCAGGAAATCAGGCCTGTGCTGTGTGTAAGCTACTGTGCAGCAATTACATGATTGTCAAAACAAAAATACAGTGCATGATCAAACATTTAGGTGAGATAAATATATATTTTTGAAAAATATCTAAAAAAAATGCCCCCCTCCACCCCTCAAATTAAAAAAAATCCCCTCTCACAAGAGTCACCTAGGAGGGGAATTAATTTTCAAAAATGAAATTCAGGCCCTGAATAAATGTCTAAAAATCTCGATTATATCCTCACTATATATAATTCTACATGATAAAAAGAAGGCTTTAAAAAGATCGGTATCGGTGATCGTATCGGCAGATACTGCTTTCTGTGATCGGCCTCAAAAATCCTGATCGGAGCACCCCTAAATAAGTAGTAGTATACATTTAATTTACAGTGTGCATTATAAATTGTTTTTATACATTTAATTTTACTTTATACAATGCATGTAGAATTTCTTATTTATTTGTTCCACTGTAGTTTTTTTGTCCTATTGCTAGTAATTAGTTTCTTATTCTTTTTTAATCACTGATTGTTTACTTGTCTTCAGTGAGCTTGATTTTTTTTTTTTTTTAAGGCTAGTATTAGTTTTTTTTATGATACCGACACTGGCGTCAAGAATTATGAAATGTCTATGATATCAAAAATGTTGATATCATAAGACATTATCTAAAGCAAAAAATACCTACATTGCGATTTTTTTATTGATACCATGAAATAAAATGACTCGTATCATGATATAAGATTTTGGTCATATCGCCCCACCCCAGCACCAATCTACAATTTCAAGAAAAGAGTCGATAGTAAAGTAGAAAATATAATGGTAAATCTCTAGAAACCTGTCAAGAAATATTCAGGTCCTATTTGATCACAAAACTGAAAGGAAGAAATAAGAAACTGCATTTTGCTTCAAGAAAATTAAGTCCATTTCATGATTTTTTTAAAGATTGTTCATGACAATTAAGCTCATTTGTTGTGCTGCTTATAATTAATGCTGATTTAAATGGAAAAAAAAAATACAATAATTTTTACTGGGGATACTTGTGTTTAATTGTCAGGAAAATAGTGTCACAAAAAGAGTCCTATAAGAGGTTTCAGTTTCGTTAGAAAATAAATAAATAAGCAAACCAGCACAGTATTGGTTGTGCTGCCTATAATTAAAAAAAAAACAAAAAAAGTCACAAAAATCATGAAAATAATGTCGCAATGCTAAATTAAAACAAAAAAAACGTTATAAAAAAAGGGCTATTTTATGCACATTTGGTAATGTTTTTGTGAGTTGCATTTAAAAGGACAGAATTGATTGGATTATTCTCTGCTTCCAGTACAAGCCTAACAGTAAAGAAGAGTTTTAGCTGAAACCACAGTCCATGGTGTTTCCTTAGATTACAGGGAATAATGCTGTAAATAATGTTTCTTGCACAGAGCAATCGTTTTGCTTCTTAAGACCTCAATAATACATCATCAGGAAACACTGGTATTCATTTGTTTGTTCCATGATATGCTTTTTTTATTCTCAAAAACGTGCTGTCTTGCATTTTATGAATCACAATGGTTTCAGCTAAAATCTTCTTTACTGTTCAACTAAAGATAAAAAGACATCGTGGATGGCCTGAGGGTGAGTAAATTAACAGCAAATTTTCATTTTGGGGTGAATGATCTTTTTAATTATGATTAAAAAAAAAAAAAAAAAAAAACGTAATATTATCAATACCGATATGATCACCAACATATTACGAATCCCTGATACCATCGTCAAATAATCTAGCAAACAGCAGCTAATAGTGACCATCAGATTTCATAATAAATGTTTATCTGTTAGGAAGCTGTTGATAAAACACCTGCAGACTGTGAGGAGGGCGGCATGAGTCTAAATGTTTGGCCGCAGGCAGTTTCCTCCACAAACACAAGATTATCATGATACAGATGAATAATTCAAAAGCACCATCTCTCTTCTCTCGCTTCTTAATTACTGGCACTAATATCAGCCTGACTAATGGAGCAGCGCTGGGTGCAGATTCTGCTCTGCTGCTTCTCCGGTCTTTATATTGCATCTCGCCTCTGGAGGTTACTGCAAGTCTAGACCATCATGCAATTAAGGGATGCATTTGTAATTCAATGAAGATGGGTGACCTAAATTACATCCTGGCTGAAATTAAAATATTTACCATGCATAAAAAAAATCAACAAACTATATGGGTTATTACTGAACAAAATAGCACAGGACATGGTCAACCGAAGCATTCTGATTAGAGGAGCCAATCATGACATACTAAGCTAGCAGGTTACTGTTTTTTAGTCATGCATTTGTTTTCCTTCAGGGGTCGCTCGGAGGCTCAGAAAACAGAATTCAAATTCTCAGGTCATGTTTTGTCTTTTTAGAGAAATCTGTATGCCAAAAATTTTTCATTCACACATTTGTTAAAACCTGTTTATTTTCAAAGAGCCTACTGATGCTATATTTCAGTTCTAGTGGCATATTCAAGGTAAAGGCTTCATCACTCACCTCAGATATGCAGGTGACTCTGCGTGGATGTGGCGCCTCCTGCTGGAGCTGGTACACTATTACAACAAAATACCACTAACATTTCAGATATTCTGCTTTATATACAGAAAAAATGGAATGCAACTATTTTGAAAATTACATAAATGACATCTAAATCCATATTTCTATATTACATATGTCTTCTTTTTCTTGCAAGATGCGGTTAAGTGACAAAACGTATTTTCTTCTATTCGCTGTAGTCTCCAGAGTTCAGTTTACTTCTCTAGTAGAATGATGTTCACCTGTGAAATGTTACTGCAAACTAGTTGTTACAATAAACACTTTTCTATAAGACGTTTTATATGTTGCTGTAATAAGAAGTACACTTACAGTAGGATTTCCACACAGGCGGCCTGTACTCATCATTATCTAAGAGAAATAAGAGACAAAAATGAATTAAACAAATTCAAATGCATGAAAACGACACGTTATGTATTTTGAGAAAAATACCCTGTTCCCTGACAGCGCCTAGACCAGGGGTAGGCAAGTTCGGTCCTAGAGAGCCGCAGTCCTGCAGAGTTCATCTCCAACCCTAATCAGACACACCTGAACAAGCTAATCAATGTCTTCAGGATTACTAAGGCTGTAGGCAGGTGAGTTTTTTTTTTTTTCAGGGTTGGAGCTGAACTCTGCAGGACTGCGGCTCTCTAGGACCGAACTTGCCTACCCCTGACCTAGACAATAACATTAACATTTCAGCAGCTTGAGCTTAACTGCATTTATTAATTATTTTAATATCCAGTGATCAGTGAGTAAACATCAGCAGCTCACTTCACATATCTGTGTGAGACCGCCATCTGCTGGAAGTATTTTTTGTTAAAGATCTCATATTTCTTTTTCCATTTTAGTTCAACTTTTTTTGTATTACTATCACATTTATTACTATTCTATTCCTTTTGTTTTACAATGCAAGTCACAGATGATCTAAATGTAACATTTATCAAACATTTTATTATGAAAAAAAAATACAGTAAAAATAGTACAATTTAAAATAACGGTTTTCTGTTTTTATATATTTTAAAATGTAATTTATTCCTGTGGTCAAAGCTGAATTTTCATTAAATCAGCATGAATGATTTCTGAAGGATCATGATGACAACTGGAATAATGATGCTGAAAATTCAGCTTTGCCAACACACAAATAAATTATATTGCACAATATTATTCAAATAGAAAACGGTCATTTTAAATTGTAATAATAAATCACATTATTACAGTTTTACTGTATTTTTGATCAAGTAAATGCAGCATTGGTAAGCAGAAGAGATGTCTTCAAAAAAAAAAAGTGGTTACTCCAAATTCTGACCGATAATGTAATAAACACTGAAGAACCAACATCTTGCTGTCAGCTTAACAACATTTTCTTCCTGCAAATTCATTCAGAAACACGACTGAAGTTTGTATCCTATGCAAAACGTTTTTTTTTTAACATAAAACCTATTTTGTTTATTTTATTAATTTAGAAAACAGCCCATATTCACAGAAAATGTAGTGAGGTTGCTCATTTAGAGAGTAATTCATTATATTATTATTATGCAATATGTTATATTTATTTATTTTAATGTCATCTGACCACTAGCGATATTCATTTTTGTAATGCCAAATCACAGAAGCATCTGTCAAAAGTAACTATAGATACTAAAAAGGAAGGACTATATGATATGCTATGCAATATATTAATAAACGAATGTATGCAAAAATAAAAACAGAAAATATGCAATATATTAATACAATGTTCTATATGATTTTGCACATGACTCATTTCAGTGGTGATTCCGAATGGATTCGCTGGAAGAAAATGGTTAAACTGACAGCAAGATGTTGCTGGTTCTTCAGAGTGGTCATTATAAGATGAATGAATACTAGCAGGAAAACCCTGCTGGAAGCACTTCATGAACAATAGAGCACAGGAGAGGGAGAGGCCCTTCAGAAAAACCTGGCCCCGCTCCACAATACTGCGCTCCTAACTCATTACACCAACTCACTCTCACTCTCTCGGAGGAAAGACCCTCTGACAGCTTCCTCTTCCTTTCACACAAACATCCAAAATAGAAAAAAAAACTTCTATTATGTTCATGACAAAAGGTACATCCAAGTGTAAAGCATTTGAATATATTCAAGGCATCTGAGAAGAGCAGTATGTGTGTGTAGTGATGGATAAGTGTTTAACAGCATAAATTCAGATCTATCTTCTTCTAACAGTCACACACTTACTACTGATAATCTGCGTATGATTCAGCACTACATATTAATAGAAAATGGCTGCTTCCTTATCCAGAGATAAGAGAAAACACATTTCTTCAAGTGTTTGAGGCGTATGCTATTGAGCTCAGGCAGTAATATGTTATGGAAGCATATAGGTAGCGAAATTCAATTTAAAATGTAAAATGGCATTGTATTTCTGTATTTAAATTTACATTTTCCATTTTCAAATAGCTGTATCTCGGCCAAATATTGTCCGATCCTAACAAACCATACATCAATGGAAAGCTTGTTTATTCAGCTTTCACATTCACATCTCAATTTCATAAAAATGGACCCTTATGACTGGTTTTGTGGTCCATGGTCACATTTAAGTAGCTGATATATAACCATCCATGAGCTTGATTTCATTCAGGTTTAAGCTTAAAATTGAAAGTATTAGTGTAAATGTAGATGTGTTTTCATCACGTTTCTCATTATTTTTAATTAACTTCGCGAGTTTATTCCAAACGTTCTTGCAGCGACATTATTTTTAATTACATGTAGGCTACACACATTCGCCTAATTAATATGAGCTCATAAACAACATGAATATTAATCAAGAGTCATCAAAATGAAGAATTTTGATTGAAAATGTTGATTAAAATATTTTAGATGAAGCCACAGCATACGCAATGTTCATTTTCGTCTTTAATACTCCTTTACCTGTTGCCATGAAGGACAATCTGCAGTGCATGAGCTATTATAGTGTGACCACTTCAACAAAGCAAACACTGAAGATGAGGACAAGAGAAGAATAACCTGCTTGCCCGTCATAACGCCAGAATATAAACACACCGCAGGATGAAGTTATTTTGAGCACATGATCTCTTTGTGAAGCCGCACTTTAAGTGACACACACACACACACACACAGCGATCTGTTGTCATCCAAACTCCAAATAAAAGCGGATAATTGAGATGGACTCACCAAACACTTGGATGGCCATCGCAGTCAGTGATCCAGACGCACACAGCTTTGAACTACACACACCTTATACCCTATCATCCGCAGCTAGCCCATAAGCAACGAGCCTGATTCTACGACAAGCAACCTTATATTCAGGAGGAGAAGGGCTTGACGAATTGACTCGGACGCCGCGGGGACCGCACGTGCGCTGGGACGCGAGGTGACCCGGTCCCGGTGGCTGTGCTGAGCGCTGCTCTGAGCTCGGAGTCACTTCACATCCCAGCACTGACTGAAGTCGCCATCTTGAGAGACCACATGACCTGATCCACACACGCGCGCGCCCCTCCTCGCTGCGGGTTACCATGGAGACGCCCTCTGTGACGAAGTGATGCGATTCAGCACGTCGTAAATAATACGAGACGCTTCTAAAACTTTAGGTGTGCTGCCTGTGCTTGTATTAATGTAAGGAGTAAAGACAGAGTAACAGCAGCATATCAAAAACTAAATAAACCTAACTGTTGATAAATGAATGCAGTTTTTCCTCATTATTGCATATAGAGAGAATACACAATATACATTCACAAATAGCTTTTCAAAGATGATTTTCGGTGATGCAGTGTGGTATCCATATACAAATGTAATTCACAAGTATGCCACTTGATTTGATTCTGATTTTTTATTCTATTCCTACTTATTTGGACATATTTGGACAGAATAATGCTCATTTTGGTCACACACACACTCTCACTCACACACACACACACACACACACACACACACACGCTCACGCGCACGCGCTCACGCCCACGCTCACGCTCACGCCCACTCACACACACACACACACACACACTCTCACGCGCACGCCCACTCACACACACACTCTCACACACACGCTCACGCGCACGCGCTCACGCTCACACTCACACTCACGCACGCACACCCTCACTCGCACGCACGCACACACACACACACACACAGGTTTGTTTTTATGGTTTATGGGGACTCTCCATAGGCGTAATGGTTTTTATACTGTTCAAACCGTATTTTCTATTGCTCTACACCAACCTTACCCCTAAACCTACCCCTCACAGGACACTTTCTGCATTTTTAGATAAAAAAAAAACTCATTCTGAATGATTTATAAGCCTTTTGAAATATGGGGACACTCAAAATGTCCCCACTCA